TCCGATGGCCAGAAAGTGATTTGTTTTTTATGAATTGTTACAATTTTTACAATACATTACAAGATTGTTGTGTACATTATGACTTTAAATAAAATTAACTTTAATGTGTGATATAAATTAAAAGTGATCATAAACGAATAATTTCTCAACTCATATAAGTGGCGGCTTGGACCCGGAAACAGTATTACATACTTCACCAACACGTCACCACTTAACAAGCGGATACAACCAGAAGTGAACGCGCATACGCTTGTGCCTCAGAAGCTCACCGGCGCCATCTTGTGCACCAGCCTATTAGCATAGAAAGTGAGCCTTGTATTTGAACCAGCCACTATGCTGACACACAGGCAATTGTAGCTACACCCTCATTTGAAAAGAGCACAATCTCATTTGAATTTAAAGCGACAGTCACCAAAATGAAACATTTGGGATCAAAGCCTAGAAGTGGCAGTTTCAAAGAGTTATAAAACATTATTTGTGGGGTATTTTGAGATGAAATTTCACATACACACTCCAGGGACATCAGAGAGTTTATCTTGTAAAAAGTGGCATAATAGGCCCCCTTTAATGGTTTCCATGATGCTACAAAATGTTCTATAGACGCTTCTGCATATAGTATATTTCTGCAGCTCTGTTGATTTGCAGTGATTAATCTGAGATGTATGCTTGTTCAAAAGGGCCTGCTGTGATCTGATCCGACTTCTCAAAAAAAAAAAAAAACAAGGGCCAGGAAAACCCAAACCAACACAAAGGCTGATGAAATAAAAACCATCATTTGCATATTCAGCCTTTGTTCTTTTCATGCCTGTGAGGCAAACTGGCAATTAGCGGCAGCAGCAGAGGTTATTAATAGCATTGACCGTGTTGAACAAACTCACCTAAAAAACAGTAAAGGAAAGCGTTTAGCAGTTGAAGCCAGATGGGTGTGCTGATACATACGCAGAACATGAGCGCGATAAAGTCTTAATTCAAAGCCTCTTTCTTGGTAATTACAAGTTTTTGTAGAAAACAGACAGAGAGCAGAGGGACTCTCTTGGCAAGCCACCATTAATTGACTTTGCAGAGGTGCAGATTGGACAACAAGTGCCATGCTCATGCTGTAATTGCCTGATTAAAGATGAAGGGCTTCTGGGTGAGAGAAAGCAAAGCTCTGCCTTTAACAGGGAAATGACATAAGAGCTTGTCATCGGGTTCATGTAGCTGCACTTTTCTTCTCGAATCAGCCAGAATGTTTTTCGTCAGGAGACTGTTTAACAGGTAGTGGAACAGAATACTTTCTAATAGCTTTTTTTTTTTTTTATGTTTTAACTTCTGTCGCTCTTTTGTATAATACAGGTGTGATAACGGCATTTGAGATGTGACAAATATAAAAAAATAATAAATATATTTATAGGACCACTGCATTTAATTATAGCACATTCTACTAAAATAAATAGATAAAACTTGAAAAGGAACAAGATAAACAAACTTGACATTTCTAAAATAACTGAATTAATTGTGGTTAAAATAAATAGAGAGATGTGTGAAATATACAATTTTACTTTTGATCTTGATAGCTTTTGCATTGCAGTTGTTTAATAATAAATTGAATAAACATTTTATAAATATTTAATTACTGGCTTTAATAAATTATTATATTTTCCTAATCACTTTAATGAGCTCTGTACTTTATATTCAACTTAATAATGTAATATATTGCATCTTTGCTATATTTATGTAAAATACATTGGCACACAAAACTTTTTATATATTAGAATTTTGTGATTTTCTTTTTAATCTAAGCCTAAACCCCTGTTTATTTTTTTAAACATAGCACTGTTGTTGGATTAAATACTTAAACTTACAAAATAAAACGAAGACAGTCCTGGTGTATCAGTGGATAAAGGGAATGACCTCTTGCTTTGCCTTAAAATAGATAACCTATATTTTGAAAAACAAAATTCATATATTTTGGTCTATTTGAAAAGTATTGAAGAATTAAGATGGTGATTCTTTTCTTGAACTGACAGACATTGAAAGAAATGTAGACAAATATGTTATTGCTGTATTATTTAATAATATATTGTTATATTATTTTTTTTCTTTCAAAATGTGTTAAGGTATTTTGAAGGTATATTATTCTTGTTGTATTTTTGTTTTTGTATTATTTCTTTAAACTTAATGAAAAATTTTTTTTTACTAAACTGAAAAATTAATCCTGTCAATTTTAAAATGTTTAATATAAAAAAATATTGTTCAAAAAAAGTTGCATCTGCGTATCTTAATGTATATTTTACATTGATTTGGACATTGAGAGATTTAATAAAATTAAATACATATATATATATATATATATATATATATATATATATATATATATATATATATATATATGTGTGTGTGTGTGTGTGTGTGTGTGTGTGTGTGTGTGTGTGTGTGTGTGTGTGTGTGTGTGTGTGTGTGTTTAAGCCTTGCAAATGCTCCTCAGCAGGTAAAATTGAAATGTGTTAGACAATAGCGCCACCCAATGGAGGATGAACACAGCTCAGGTATAATCTAACCAACAAACGAATGAACTCGTGTGAATTTTTTCCTGTGTAATCTGTATAAAACTGATTTTCATTTTATACAACTCATTTACACATTGCACTTTAAACGAGTATTAGTTTTTCCATAAAATTAGCATCCCAAAAATCATATCTCTAAAATAATGCAGTATTAAATATTACATTTATATTGCATAATATTCTAATTAAAACTAGCTCTGGTAGCTCTGCCTTGCAACACATACATAAATCCAAACCTGCTGCAGTCAAGACAACTTTCAGTATTCGTTTCCATAAATCTATATTTATTTTTTTCAAATCAGATTAATCACATCATACCTCAGTTAGCATCAGCATCGTTAATAAGCATTGATTTACAGTAACCTATACAAACATGGCCTTATACCGAAGCACACAGAGGAAAGGGGGCAGAAGGCGTCTCATTTTGCCACAGTGTCATCGTCGTGCTCACTCCAACCATAAAACGTGAATCCAAATCGCAGAGTCAGGTTTTTCTTACCCACAACCTCCTGAACCGAGAACAGCTTAAAATGGCAGCTTCCAGTCAACAAACAGGAAATAGCAGAGACTGTAATTACTTTGCGTTACTCACAGACGTTTGAGAAGATCAAGTCTTCTCAGAAGAGCCGCTGGAAACATTCAGACCATAGCAACAATATTAATCTATCAATCAATCGATCTATCTATCAATATAATCAAGACCTAAATAGATTGGTTCATTTGCTTGGCCTCAGTATATACTTGCAAACGGCAAAACTGAAAGTTCTCATGCATTATGAATTTGGACAATACAAATAATGTTCTGCATCCATTAAATAAAGAATTGGAAAATCTCGTTCTCTCAGAGTTCTGGAAGCTGGAATACATTCTAAAAGGAAAAGTAAAAATATAGATAAAGTGGAGAAAATTATGTTCACATTGCAGCTTCCGTAATTCAGACTAAATCCTGATTACATTCTGAAAGAGACAAATTCAAAATGTTGGAACGCTAAACGAGGACTGTTTGTTTTAGCTAGCGAGTGGCAATTCAGACAAAAAAAAAAACTATGGAATCGCTAAAGATATACGTTATGTTACTATATGTTACTAATTTTAGGTAGTTAGTAATATATAGGAGAAAACTGCCTCGTTCTCAATAGCTTTTGGCAGTTTAAAAAAAGTCTAAATGTGAGTTCTCTGAAATATTGAATAATAATTGAATAATCTTTATTTTAGTTTGCTAGTCAGAGCTTCAGCAATTCAGACTGAATCTTAATTACAAATTAAAAGAAATCCCAAAGTTTGTATAGCTAAGCAAAGATATTTGTGTTAGCCGAGTCATAGGTGAAAAATATCTCATTCTCTCAAAGGCTTTGCACTTACAAATAAGGTTGGATTTCATTTTGAAACTAAAAATGTGAACAATGTTATGTGAAATGTGAAAATTATGTTCACACTGCAGCTTCAGTAATGTGGACTAAATCCTGATTACATTCTGAAAGAGACAAACTCAAAACATTGGATTGATAAAACAAAATATTAAGCAAGTGAGTCACCTATTAATTCAGCTTCATCAATTCAGACTAGATGCTGATTAAAATATAAAAAAAATAAACAAAATGTGGATTCAGCAGCCTGATCTCACAAGGAAACGCAAGTATTTTACTTTTGTCAATTTAGTGGCTATTCGTACGAGTTCAGGCGTACGAAAATATACAATTTTAAAAAGGAGGCGCGGCCCCCAACCCCGCCCCTAAACCCAACTGTCATTGGAGATAAGCAAATTGCACTAAATTGTCTGAATGAGATTGTGCGAATTCATACAAATTAGCCACTAAATCAAAAAGTTCCAGAAGAGATTCAGCAATTCTGACTTTAGCTGGATTACATTCTGTAACGAAACTCTAAAAACATGGATAATGTGCAGAGTAAATTACGTCTCACTGATTTTCAGCAATTCAGACTGAATCCTGATTACTTTCTGAAAAAGTAAAACTCAAAACTTTGGATCACTAAACAAGGAAAAGTATTGTTTATTTTAGATAGCCAGTCACCTATGGGAAAAAGTCGTCACCTTTTCACTCAACTTCGACAACTCAGACTGGATCCAGATTGCTTAATAAAAGAATTAAAAGTTCTTATTTAGCTTGTTATATAATAGACTTTCTCATTCTTACTGAGCTTTGCCGAAAACATTCTGAAAATAATAAATGTGGCATTGCTAATGTGGCAAGGATACAATTCATTTCAAATCACGAGTCACCAGGATGACAAAATGATCGGAATGAGATTCGGAAATTTAGATTAAATCCTGCTTACATTCTGAAAGGGGAAAATAAATCAATTGTGGGGTCGCAAAACATGGACTATTATATTAGCTAGTAGCTAACTCACCATCAGGAGAAAACTGTTAGCTTAAGAACTTCAGACTTAATCCTGATTGCACTGTGAAAAAAAAAAAACTCAAAACATGGATCGCTAAACATGGATAATGTTTATTTTAGCTAGTGAGTCACCTATAGGAGAAAACTGTCACGTTCTCACTGAGCTTCGGCAATTCAGACTGAATTCTGTTTAGCAGCAGATTAGAATCCTGATCAGTCCCAAAAAAAAGCATTAAAGAGGTTCTCCTGAACACCAGATTTGAGGATTGATGGACGTCAGAGGAACTTATGGCATTTCTGAGCAGGTTTCTCCCAAGACAAATGCACTTCTGAATGACAAGATTGCAGGAAAATAACAAAGAAACAAATTAATTCAACAACAAAACAAAAAAGTGTGCACTGGCTGGTGTCATTCTGCACCAAGCTGCAAAAGAAATCTTTTGGTACACAAGAAAAAAAAAAAAAAGATGCAAACACACAAAGGTGAAATGGCTACTGTGGAGTCAGTCTACAATATTGGACGTGATTATTCAGACTTGATATTCAGTCAGGCAAATATCAATTGTGTTTTTACAGCGTTACGTAAATTCAAGTATGATTTCTCTGTCCTTGGATACATAATTGTCGCCTCCTCTGAGAGTGCTCAAGTTTCAAGAGCGCTAAAATTTCAATGATTTACAAAAAGACAAAACAAGAAGCCTGCAAAAACATTTGAAATCCTCAGAACCAATGACACTGGTTAGTCAGTTAATACCGAACAGGTGTCCAATAATAGTTAAGGATACTGGTATAAGCTTTTAGAAGGGCTGAAAGTGCTTTAAGATAGTTTACGTGAGTGATTTTCATTTCCGTTTCGTGCGAGACTTGAGCGTAAGGGCAGATCCATCAGAAGTTGACGCTGAATCGTCCACTGTTGTGATTTAAGTGTTCGTACATCATCTTTAGCAGAAAAAATAGGTCAGAACCCAGTTGTTCCTCTGAGGTTACACAATATTTAAGGTTCTACATCATTAGTGTTGACGTTCTACCAAGGAGATCTCTGTAAACCTACTGCTTATTTCTATTTCGCTCCTGTAAAGAAAAAAAAGAGAAACAAAATTAGACGATTCAATCGAACATGGAGCCATTAAGAAGATATTTGTCTTTTACTAAGCCAGTTTGTGTAAACTCAGATGAAACGGAAGTGTTTTGAAAATCTCTTGTGGTATTCTGGCTGCCCAAGAAATCAGTGCAATCTTTTCAGCACTGCAAAATGCTCCAAATTGTTTTGTGTTTTTCCGCATGTTGGGTCAAAGACAGATTAAATTTTAGTTTTTTAGCCCCCTTTGTAAAAATGTGTACATTTCTTTTTCCTGAAAAGATACAAATTTAGATTGTACATTATTTACAGAAGACACAGACTAAAGTAATTTCTTATCAGACATATTTAATACGAGAATCATCACAATTCTGACCACTACCAATTACATCATAATCATTCATAATTATTCATTAAACCAACAGACATTTAAAAGTCATATTATTTTGTTAAAATAAATAAATTAAAATACTTCATTTTCTGTGCTAAAAGTGATTTTAGGTTTTACGGTGTTATAATATATAATGTTATAGTGGTAGATAATCAGTAATATTTTTTTTTATTATTTGAATATTTGTTTAAACTAGATTTGACACAACCTCACAGCAATTCGTAACCTTTTGATTTCATGGCTAATTTGTATGAATTCGTACAATCTCATGCATACAATTTAGTGCGATTTGCTCATTCACCAAGCACGGTTGGGTTTAGGGGCGGGTTTGGTGTCATGCCTCCCTTTTTAAAAACATTTTACATTTTCATACGACTGAATTCGTACAAATTCATACTAATTAGCTACTAAACTGAAAAAACATAAAATAGTTACGTTTCCTAGTAAGATCACTGGAATTTTTTGTTAGCATAACATGATTAATAATCCTAAAAATAATTTTCATGCATAATTACATTTCAACAAATTAAAAAAAACAAACAGGCATGTCGTTACCAAGCATAAGGGTTTCCAATGTCAAGTTTACTAAAGATACAGGTCCAACAACTGCTTGCAATTTTGAAGCATGTAACTGTAAAAACTAAACTGTTGACAATGCAAAAAAAAAAAAAAAAACTTTTCATCCTAAAATACATTTTAAATACACTACCTGTCAAAAGTTTGGGGTCAGTTTTTTTTTTTTTTTTTTTTTTAAGAAAATTATTCTGTTCATCAAGGCTGCATTTATTAAATGTAAAAAAAAAATGTTAAATGTTTATCAACATTTTAAATAACTGCTTTTTATTGTATGTAGTTTCAAATTAAATCATTACTATTACCATTAATAATATAATAATAATAATAATAATAATAATAATAATAATAATAAATCACATTTCACAATTTGTACTGTATTTTTGATTAAATAAATGCAGCCTTGGTGAGCAGGATAAGTTTAATTTAATACATTTAAAAAAAAATCGCACTTACTCAAAACTTTTGACCGGTAATGTATATTAGCTAATATGTCAGATGAATTTTCACAGCAAATGAAGACCTCAGTCATACAAAAAGTGTATATTATTATTTAAATGTATTCTAAATTTGGATATTTTCATATCATGGTTATGATTTAGCAATTTAATAACCCACTTTTCAACAAATCTGATTATGGAATAAAATGGGAAACAAATATCCTAGTTTTCTCCAAGAACATAGTTCAACTAAAAAATTTCATTTGATCATCGTTTAATCCTAAGCCAATTGCTCTCTTTTTTCAAACTACAAAGGAAAAACAAAAAAAAGTGTTCTGCTTTCAGTTGTGCACATGTAACGATAGTGACAAAAAACAAGACTGAAAAAAAAGTCTCAACAGTCAAAACTAAGATTTTATTATTTTTTTTATTTATTTTTTTATTCCTCTAAAATCCTTGAAATTAGAGCTGGGTGAATAGGCCTAAAATCTAAATTTCGATTAATTGAACATTTGAACTCAATTATGATAAATGAACATTTATTTTATTTATTTACTTTATTTTATAAAAATATGCCATCTCAAGGCATCTCTATCGCAGCTTCTAATCATCGTCAATGTAGTGCAAATGTGTGACATGAAGTAACATTTTGTGAGAGGTGCACCAGTAAGCCACTGTGTGAAGGCTAAATAATAATAAATCAGCCCTAACAGAGCGTGTTCATATGACTCCACACGCGGTAGGGAAGGTAACTGAAAAAAATTACCTGGATTAGATTGATTATAGGTTCTGAATGTCGATTTCAATTATATTTTCGATTAATCACCCGGATCTACTTGAAATATATATTGCATCTGTAAAATATTCATAGCGCTTCACCTCTTCCACATTTTTTTACAGCCCTATTCCAAAGTGGATTTAATTCATTTATTTCCTCAAAATTCTACACACAATACCCAATAATGACAATGTGAAAAAATATTTTCTGAATTTGTTGCAAATATATCAAAAACAAAAAAACCTGAAAAATAAATCACATGTGCATAAGTATTTACAGCGTTTACTGTGAATCTCTAAATTGAACTCAGGTAAATTCTGTTTCCACTGATCATTCTTGAGATGTTTCAGCAGCTTAATTGGAGTTCACGTGTGGTAAATTCAGTTCATTGGACATGATTTGAAAAGGCATATACTGCACCTGTCTATAAGGTCCCAGGGTTAGCAGTGCATGTCAAAGCACAAACCAAGCATGAAGACAAAGGAACTGTCTCGAGGCACACGGCTGGGGAAGGTTGCAGAAAAATTTCTGCTTCTCTGAAAGATCCAATGAGTACAGTGGCCTCCATAATCCATAAGTGGAAGATGTTTGAAACCACCAGGGGCCTCATGTATCAACGCTGCGTACGCACAAAAACTTTGCGTACGCCAGGTTTCACGCTCAGAATCGCTCACGTTTGGATTTACTAACAATGAACTGAACGTGGGAATGTGCGCACCTTCACGGCAGCTTTCTGGCAGGCGTACGCACATTTTTTGTGCGTGTCTGTTTTATTTCCATTGGCGACTCCTAGAGGCAGTTGTGTTAAATTCTTCTCTACAAAGTGTCTGAGCCTTGCAATGGCAGCTGTATGAGACGGGTTCATATAGTAGGTATGTAAGATTTCCATACCATACAGTTGACCAGCTAAACATTAAAGCACAATTTGCAGCGGTCGCCTGTTTTCCCAATGTAATCTGAGCTATCTACTGCACACACATTGCTATAAAGACACTATCTGAAGATAAATTTGCATGTGTGAATCAGAAACATTTCCATTCAATAAATGTGCAAATAAAATATGATGCACAAACTTATTAATGATTCCTACTTGTCTTTCTCGTGATAAATAGTGGGCAAAATCTGATATGTAGCGGGAAAAAAAAGAAGAAAGAGTTCATCAGACGCTGGATTCGAACCGAGTTTGTGCTCGAACGAGTCAGCATATGATCATATGCTTCTTATGAGGTGCGCCACTGAGACTGCTAAGGGTGCTGCAACAGTTTACAGAAATAAACCACACTATTTCTTTTTTAAATGCACTCAGTGCGATGTTCAGACCCAACTGTGTTAACCGTATCAGCTAAACTCTCCCACTCTATTTTTTTCTTTTGTTGTTAATTCCGGAGAACAAACTTGCAAATAACACCGCTTTTCTCCGTTCTACCTCCGAAAGCAGCACCTCCAATTCACATTCTGTTCAAAGTTTCTCTTTTTGTTTGATTTTGCCGTTGCTTTTTCGTTGGGTTTTTCCATTAGCATAGTCATTAGCATATTCATACGGGGGAGGAGGCAGGGAGGGGTTTTGCGCTCGTGCATGTTGCGCTCAGTTTCACGTTCATTCGGATGTACAAAAGAATATGCGTGAGATTCGGCGTACGCAGTGTTTCATACATCTGAATTTTTTTCTGCGTACGCACATTTACAGCTTTGTGCGTACGCAATGTTTTAGTAAGATTTCCACGCAAGTCTTCGTACATGAGGCCCCAGGACTCTTCCTGGAGCTAGCTGGCCATCTAAGCTGAGTAATCGGGGGAGAAGGGCCTTAGTCAGGTTGGTGATCAATAACCCAATGGTCACAGAAGCCACTCCCTGCCTGGAATTTGCCAAAAGGCATCTGAAAGAATCTCAGACCATAAGAAACAAAATTCTCTGGTCTGATGAGACTAAAATTGAACTCTTTGGAGTAAATGCCATGCGTTCTGTTTGAAGAAAATCAGGCACCGCTCATCCGCTAATACCAACCCTTACAGTGAAGCATGGTGGTGGCAGCATCGTGCTGTTGGGATGTTTTTCAGCAGCAGGAACCGGAAGACTAGGATAGAGGAAAGATGAATGCAGCAATCTACAGAGACATCCTGAATGAAAGCCTGCTTCAGAGTGCTCTTGGCCTCAGACTGGAGCGACGGTTTATCTTCCAGCAAAACAATGACCCAAAGCACACCACCAAAATTTCAATGGAGTGGCTTCACAACAACTTGGTAAATGTCATAGAGTGGCCCAGCCAGAGCCCAGAGCTAAATCCTATTGAACATCTCTGGAGAGATCTGAAAATGGCTGTACACCATTGCTTCCCATCCAACCTGATAGAGCTTGAGAGGTACTGCAAGGAGGAATGAACAAAAACTCCCAAAAACAGATGTGCCAAGCTTGTGGCATCATATTCAAAAACACTTGAGGCTGTAATTGCTGCCAAAGGTGCATTAACCAAGTATTTAGCAAAGGCTGTGAATACTTATGTGCATGTGATTTTTCAGGTTTTCTATTTTTTATAAATTTGCAACAATTTAAAAAAAATCCCATTGTCATTATGAAGTATTGTGTTTAGAATTTTGAATAAATAAATTAATTTAATCCATTTTGAAATAGGACTGTAACAAAAAATGTGGAAAAAGTGAAGCGCTATGAATAATTTCCGCATGCACTGTACAACACTCATAATATGGCAATTTTTTTCGTATACTTTTACTTTTTTTATAATACTGATTGCTATCAAATGAGAGATTGTAAACAGGACATGTTAATTTCTCCTCCTGTTGACTAAAAAAAGAA